AACTGATTGTGTAAGAATAATAATCTTGTTTTCAGAATGTGTAAGATTATTTGTCTTGTTAGCCTGAAAATTTGACTCGAAGTCAAAAATTTCTGCCAACGGAGTAAGAAATTTTTACTTGGTAAGATTCTTGAAATACTTGATTTGACTCAACTTTTTTCTTTAAGAATCTTACCAAGTAAAGTTTTCTTACTCCATTGGCAGAAATTTTTGACTTCGAGTCAAAATTTCAGGCTAACAAGACAAATAATCTTACACATTCTGAAAACAAGATTATTATTCTTACACAATCAGTTCTTGTTTAGCAAATCAGTCTCAAAACAAGATCAAAAAGACTTTTTGGCTGGATATAAGATTTTAAAACTTGGTAAGATGGACAGTTTTTGCAGTGTAAAATCCTGGAGTTCAACCAAAATGGCTACCAAAAACAGTGACATCACATAGCAGCTGATTGCTGTTTCATTCCTCCRGAGGTTCATGAACAGTTTTTAAAGACATTGTCTTTTAAAAGCAACCAAAGCAGCTGGTGGACATGTACATCACTAAGAATGTGTTGGCTTCATGCCARCAGCCTGTCACTTTTCACTACTGTTTGTGGGAACAAAGTGGGAACAAAGTGACCTAACTCGGGGAGCTGACAAGGAAGGAAATATTTCTCTCCCCTATTTAAAACGGGCTCTACCTGGTTAAATAAAGGTGATAGATTGATATATTTAAATCGTCTCACATGAAGATGAATATAAATAATTTGCCATTATTCTTTCTCAACTTGCTTGGCTACTTTATTTTATTTTATTTTTTCTCCCCAAAGTTTTTCTTCATGCTGAATGACTCAAAAGTTTGGAAAATTTAGTGCTGCCTGCTAAGATCCAAACAACTCTTTTTATGAACCAATAACACTTTACACTGCGGGGAGTCAGGGGAAACGAAGTGGAAGTCTACACAGGGAATCATTTTTTCCCCCTGCAGAACATCATTTTGTTCAGAGCTTCTACTAAGAGTTGTTGAAAAAGAGACATCAACTTGAACAAAGTGTTTTTTTTTCTTTAAATAACTTTCCCTCAGATTTAAGTTGTCTGAATTAATTGACTTTGTCGTCTTGACGTTCTGACAGAATGCTGAGCTTGCTTTTAGCTACCACCACTCAGTTGGCCGTTTTATTCATAGCTAATGACATTTGAAACATTGGTGTGCGTTATAAAATATTTACTTTTGTCAGATCTTAATGTGGCTGTCAAATTTAAATTCTGTATGCTTCCTGCGCTCAGTGGAAGTATCTATAGACGGGTGGATATTTTGATGTATAACTGGTGTACAGACCGACTCTAACCACATTTATTTATCTATTAGTGGTGTGTGGATGGTCTATGACAACGAGGGCATTGGGTATTTGGCGTTGCAAAGCTCTGCATCAATCTCCTGAATATAACGAAGGGCCTTCTTTTATCTCCAGGCCTAGAGCAGTGGGATTACTGTTCCAATGGGAGATGGGCAGCAACACTAGACTGAAAACTGCCAACTTCAGCATTGTCTTTGTCATAGTTCACTCCAGCTCAGATCCCTTCACAGCCCCAAATATTACAATAACAACAACGCAACTGGATTGAGCAGAGAAAAACTAAAAAGTAAAAAAAAAAAAAAGTTTGTTCGGTAGATGAAGGCATTTCTTTAGTTTAGAGAAGGGGTAAAAAGACAACCCTAGGGGTCCAAATTCTTGAGTTATACAACTTCCAAGCATGTCCTGCATGCCGCTGTTGAACAAGGTTGAATAACCAATCAGCAAACCCATTTTCCTCTTCTTAAGGTAAATCCCATAACTTTAAATCAGTTGAGGTTTTTACAATAAATGATGTGGATACTGCTGGATTTAATTAACATATGGTGGGGAAAACAATTCACCAAGCCAAAAGTTTAAAGTGATTGTACCTTTGTATATTCACTGTAAAATCACTGCTCCATATTCAATAAGTGGTGAGATAAAACTGCAAAAGCTGTTTCTTTTTAAATTATAAAATTTTAAACTTATCCATTACTATTTCTTTATTTTTGTGCAGGAGGAGAGATTATCAGCCAAGATGGAGGTGAAAACATCACTTCTAGACAATATGATTGGGGTTGGGGATATGGTCCTTCTGGAGCCCCTGACTGAAGACACATTTCTGGAGAACCTGAAGAACCGCTTTGACCACAATGAGATCTATGTAAGTATACCTCTTTATAGTGTTGACTGTCTCTCTGCTCAGTAGTGCTGTGACGGTGATATCACTCCCTGGCATCAAAAGCAAAAAGAAAAACGAAAAGGCTCCAGAAAAGAAACATGAAGACACTTTCTAAAGTTTAATTTAACCCCAGTTTCGCATGTATCTTCAGTCATGACTATTGAAGCAGTTTAAACATCTATGTAACTTAAAAAAGCCCTCATGATTTTTTTTAATCCAAAGCTTCTGTAGCAAGAAGGGGGAAGTCATTCTGAGTGGCTTCTTATCTCTAGAGAGGAGGGGGTTCTTGAACTGTCATCTCTGCCACAATCAATTGGTTTGTGGTTTTGKGCTTTGGCAGTCCATTTATTTGCTCTGCAGGTTAGCTGGTCCAGACGTCAGCTTGGATGATTACAGTTCAGCTTGGGCTGCTGTTGGCTCACAAAACTAGGGGTTGACATCACTGGCTCATTGACATGCTAAATATTTAACTCTGGAGTCCGCATTCTGGCTCAAAATGGGGATAATTGAATGTTTAAAATGCTGACTTTTCTTTTTGTCCCAGTGAGGTTTTTAATTTCTTTTGTCATTTGGATCCAGATGATAGGACTCTTCATTTATGTTACATATGCTTTTATTTTAAGACACCAACTAAGTTTCTGGCCTTGTTCAAGCACAAGCTCTATCTGAAGTGAAAAATAAATGTAATTGCATCAAATGGCTTTAAGTCGATAATGGCAGCTTTTGCGTAGCATGAATCGTACCTCATGATTAATACCTAGAAAAAGTACCGAAGCCCATATTTATCCAATGAATCTGTGGTACACAATCCTTGCTTATTTGAATATATTTTCTCTCACGTGGCATCATTTCTCACAAATGGGGCCCATCCCCCGCACCAAACTATCATATGACGACACACTGAAAATGTTGCTTTGTTTTCCGTAGGGCAGCACTTCGTGTATCCAATAACGTTGCAGGAGGAAAATCAAGGAAGCAGTCACCCTGTAGAACAAGAACCTATTCTTGTCCCAAACCACTGGGATTCCTGAGAATAATTGCACTTTTTTATTCTTGTTTGTGTAATTTACAATTGCATTCTGTGAATCATGTAATTAGGGGTAGCATCTTTTTTTGGTTATCCAAGTAAATGTCTTAACATTTATATTGTATGCCAAGTGCAAACAAACAGCCTCTACATGGTGGAGGGTTGTTATTTAATTGACCTGAATTTCATCTGATATATATCTATCAGAGATGAAATTGCATAAAGAAGTGTTTAAACACTGATTTCTGTATCCAACCCTTTTTTTAAAAATAAATCATTGTTTGAATTACGTTTTTTTTTTAGATGTATTTGGTCTGAAATTATGTTTATACTAGTTCAATGACTTTAATAATTAATTCAGCTGCAGTTTTATTAAAGAACGACACGCTCACTCCATGTGATCCATGTAATTGGATGAAAATGGTTTCATTACTTCGCTGTGCATTTTACTTTTGATCAGCAATCATTCATTACTTTTATTTATAATGCACACTTTTTTATGTGTGCATCCTCCGCACTTTAAAAGGTCTCATGTTGCCGCTGGTGTGCTGTTAACAAGAGGCTGTGGGAGGTTGTGGCGTTGCCACAGGGAAGGCCATGCTCCACTCTTGTCAGAGTGGCTTATGCAACAGCCATTACCATGGAGAGCAAAGAAAATGTTTCAGGTTGTTTTGAAAGTGTTATCTGAGCACAGTTTTGTGTGTGGGTGGCTGATGATGGTTGCATTCCCTTTCAGATGTACCTGACAAGTGATATTTGTTGATCGGATGTTACATAAAGGCATTCTATTTACATAAAAATGTAAAACAGCATGATCACATTGAATAAGTTTAATGGCTCATTTTGCCAAAAGATGCTACCCTATTTTTGCAGGGAAGAAATGGCGGAAATACCTGCAAGTTAGCAATCGAAGTGATTGAGTTTAATCGAAGTGACTGAGTTTAAAGAAAGCAGCATAAATAGATTTTAAGAAAAGCTATTTCACGTTGATTTGTTTGGGTAACAATTTATCTTTTTTCGTTATTTACAGTGGAAAATATGCACCACATGGATATTGTCAGAATGAAGTTGGAAAATGGAAATGACAGATGACATCTTGAGTCTAGTCACAAACGATTRGACAAAATAACTTTCATTATGGTGAAATGACTGCTGTGAGAACTGCTGGAGAATTGGACTTGCCTAATGAGTCACTGATGTTAGCTAACAATTACTAGAGATGTCACACCATTGTATAAGGAGACCTAATACCCAAGGATCCTCTGGAGTGCAGATGTTCTAAGACTGAAAAGGAATACATGTGAGAAGAACAGTTGGCCTATTTGAATACAACATATTAGGGAAAAAAGAATTGTCATGCAAACTATCACTAATCTAAACCTCACAACAGAAAGCAGAAGTATGAAGAAAACAGTGCCAGCTGTCAAAATGTTTGTCTCATCTCTTCAGAGACTAAAATCACTTACTGGTGCACATGGCCCTAAATTGACCCCTTTATGTGATTTGAGTTGCATGTTAAATGTTCTCTATCATTGCCTAGCTTCAAAATATGTCAAACTATTTAAAATTATGACTGAATCTTTTGAAGTAGTAATTTAAAAATGTATAATTGGTTTTATTAACAGCAGTAAATATGTGCATCTTATTATGCTGGTTGCATACAGCTGCTCCAACGTCTTCCCTCATGACTATGACTTGTGCTGTTTCTACATACTGCCCAGTCCAGATTCCATAAATCTTACCTTGTTCTTACGTGTCTTTAGTTTCACTTCAGGCACTGCATGCCTCAACAATGCCCTATGATCCCCCCATCTGGGAAGTATCAGAATCCCTGCCTCAAGTTTATATATAAAAAAATGCTTCCAAATGGACAAAAGGAAGGAAAAGGTGTTGAGCAGGAAAGACAATGTGTTCTCACTAATGATTTACAATTGTTTCTATTCCCTGCAGACATACATTGGCAGTGTGGTGATCTCCATAAACCCCTACAGGTCCCTGCCCATATACACGCCAGARAAGGTGGAGGAGTATCGCAACAGAAACTTCTATGAACTTAGTCCCCATATGTAAGTTTACATTTCAGTTCATCTCTTAACCCTTGTTTGTGTGTATGTATACATTTAAAGCTCCTAGTGCTGCTTGGGACTCGAGTACTTGACAGGTGAGGTGATGATGTGGTTTCAAGTTTAGTTTCTGCTACGGGAATTTGGGAGTGGCCCTTGACGTGTGTTTAAGGGTTTGATTATCTGAATGTGATAAGCAGGAACTGTCGTGTCGTAAGGATGCAGGGTATTGCACAGTTTAAGGATTATCACTCTGACTTTGTGACTAATGCATTAGGGTTTTATAGGAGGCAGTTCGAGATCAGAAGGACATCGTCAGGAGAGTCATAAGGTCGTCTTGGCATGCCGTCTGTTTATTGGAAGCGCTAACTCAGCATTTAGGCAAGTGAGCCGAGATGAAACAAAGCCCAGTGCTTGTCAATTAGCCCACCATGGCTCTAGGCTGCTGCAAACACTTCAGAGACTGAGTGGAAAAGTGTGGAACCCTTGTACAAGCAAGTTCATGTTGATAAAATTAGTTGTTTGGCGTTTCTTACAGTTTTATGCTCCTTTCTTTACCTTTTTTGTGGTTTTCTTTTGTCCTTTCACAAAGAGGATAGAAGTAGCTATAGGGGTGTAACAATACATAGATCTATATAGATTTGAATGGTTCATGATTCAGTTATATTGAGGCAAAATGAAAATATCAATATATCGTCATCGTATGCTCAATGTGAATCAATATAATGCCCATCTAACAGTCATTGTGTTGGATGGGCATATGATATTGCATTTTATCGATCGCAGACATGTGACTTGATTGGAAATCAAATTGTGACAGACTTTGTGATATCAAGAAATAACGAATCGTCATCCAAACTTATTGATGTAAAATTGTAAGCTGGTGATTTACACCCCTAAGTAACTATTGTTCATCTAATGTATTTTTTATTGCCATTGTAGTACATTTTATGTCAAGTCATCTCAGCTTTTTAGTTTGCTTTATTTTGAATGATCAATTCAAAGATTACCACTCTGCTGACCTTTTATCAGTCATTTTAAGTTGAGTGCAGGTCTTGGTTAGCCAAATTATACAGTGTAAGAGGGAAAGTCTTTAGGGAAATAGCTATTTCTCCATTGCATTAAAAAAACAAGAACAAAAAATAATGGRTGACAACTGAATATTAAGCAGAGAAATTATCAGTTGTAAAGTCTGAACACAAATGTTGAAGTTGAACCACAAGTATCTTTTGCTGCAAAATGACATGAGTATTGCTGTCTTTTTTTGTTGGGGTCAATGGCCTGTGGTGTATCTTAGTTTAGGCTGGGCCAGCTGATGGCAGAAACAAAATGTTGAGGTTTTTGAAGTCAAGTAGCCAACATAAAGCAGTGGTGTTACGGAGAGGAATTGGTGAGATGGCAGAAATCAGATTCTATGCATTTTGTTAATAACTAAAGATCAAAATTGACAAATGTGTTTATGAACTTTGCAAAACCTGAAAATGAAAAACTTTGTTGAGCTTTTGCTTCAGAAAATGCAGCATTATGTCTAGGAGCACTTGAAATGGGTAATTTCATGTTAATTTCTGCTTTTCAAGTAGGTCATAAATAAAATAAACTTAGGTTTTTTTCAGACTGGTTAAACTAAGCTTATCATTAATCTTAAAGTAATAAATTTCCTCCTGTTTATTAAAAGCTCCTAAAACCCTGAAATGTCAGATTAACCTCCAGCATATGATCCTGATCTTCTGGTTTGACCATCTGGACCAAGCACTGGATTTGCATTAAATGTGTTTTAATTAATGTTGAACCCTTAATGTGATCAAATGCATCAACCTAGCTGTTGAGATGAAAATTCTGTAAGTAGTCCAGGCCCAATTCCTTRTTAAAGCTGTTGTAGTTCTCTCCCATGTCTACATAAAGAATCATTATAGTCATCTTTTTATTGAAATTTTAATTAAACTTTTAAAAATAGTCATTTTAAAGGTTCACCTGAATGAAGGAAACATTAATCCTAGATGTTTCTTTTTTTCAGTAACAAAACATTTAGTTTTCTTCTAATTGATAAATAGCTGTGAGTTTAGACATGRCTTAGATTTATTTGAATAAATTTTACTTGGTTGTATTCAAAGAAGAGCGGCTGTTTAACAGAGACGAGACAAATGAGGGGTTTCTCACACCAGAGTTCAAGAAGTCAGAGAATGATCTTGTTCTGTTTTGGCCTCACCATACTGTTCCTGGTGGAATCTGGTCAATATTTTTATTTTTTTCAAACCCTCCCTTTTTTGAGCCAAAGCTACAGTTTTAAACAACTCAACTGAGGCAAGGCTGCTGTACTGAGTTCTGGGCAGAGAAAAACCATCTGGACTTTGTGCCATATTTTTAGTTAAACTGTGTATGCCTGAAAAAGCAACTTGAACAACATTAATGGACTCCTGCCACTTGAGCCCAGCTTCTTTTTTTCAGACTCTGCATAATGTTTCTAAACCGAAGAAGCACTTGTTTTTATTTTATTTTTTTAATTCTTCCTTTTGGATGACTAAGCTTTACCAGACTCGGGGGCATTTTACCACAGAGACTGGACAGTGCTGAAGTACATCAGTGYTGGGTTTTAATTAAGGCAACTGCAGGGGGTGTTGGGCCTTTTCCTGTTTCCTGTCTTTGATCAYAATTAAACACTTGTTACTTGTATGAAATCAGTAATCCTCAACATGTTGCAACAGGCAAGGTTGGGATGCCCCAAAGATGCTGCGTTGTGGTTTTTATATAAAAATATGTAAAATAAATAAAAATTAAATTGTTGCATTTGCATTTACTAAATACACAACTCTTCAAGGCACTGACCACTTTGCAGTGTCTTGAAGTTGTTTGACAATTGACAGGATTTGCACAAGAAAAGCATAAAATTGTAGCTAGAAAATTGAACTAATGGATAAAGGAGACTTTTGCAACATTGATTTATAGGTATATTTTGCTTTTGCAGTTTTTCTCTTGAGGCTCCTTTATGTTTAATGTCAATTCACTTGATTTTTAAAGAACTGCACAGCCACACCCCTCCCCTTTAATCTAGTCATGGTTTCCACTGYTGGTCATTTTAGCAAAGTGCTCCCTGCCCAGATGAGGCACCTTCATAATTAACAGGCAGTTTTTTTGTCTCTCAACACAGAGTGTGTGCATTAGAGATGAACTAATCAGTTTCTGTCACAGATGGCCTGTAGTCATCTTTTGTATGTTGATTGCCACCCAGTTTAGACATAGACTGAGTGTGTTGTGTGTGCGTGTGAGAGGACAGTTTGCTAACCCCGTGTCTCCAGGGTAGGATTGTGTTATCTCTATGTTTAATGAGGTATTGAGACCCCTGGTGCTCTCAGCACTCAATACTGAGTACCACTAGAGCATTKGTCACAGAGAGGCATCAGGACAGGCTAATGGAGCCAAGTGGCCCCTCTGCATGGTGTACGTCCAGGCCTCCAGCTGTCATGCACATGCTTATGACAGATTATCTGTAAAATTGGACTATATGGAGTGGGGGGTTGAAAGTCCCCCTCCCCCCAAATTAGCTTATCCTATACTCTGTTATATAGCTCGTGGCAGTCAACATTGTCTTTTATAAACTATGGCACATAATCTTTTATTAGCCAAGGCATAATAAACGCAGCATAAAGTAAATGTCATGATTAACATGTTTTTTTGGCTGAGGACATGAAACTCTGATTACATAAAATCAATCACTGCTGTCATGGCTGTTTCCAGAATGTGACCCCTGCCCTGCTTGTCAAAATCAGCAGGAATCAGAGTTCATATGTGGGAGTGAACTAATGTTACTGACTGACTGGTTGCCAGATGGGCATTATTTATTGTGAACTGTAGAATGCTCCTTATGACTACAGATGCTCTTAAAAAAATAACAGATCTTCAAATGCTTTACAAATGACACTTTGAGTTAAAAGGAAATGAATAAATTATCCCTTGGTGGTATGGTTGTCAAACTTTTTTTGTAAAACCTGCATAGGCAACTGCCCTACCTACAATTTATTTTATTTTTTTATATTGAGTCTTTGAAATAAGCTGTTTACTTGTTAGATAATGGAATATTACAGTAAGCTTGTGCTCTTCCTGTAAGAAAGGATGGCCTTTGGAATCATTTTCTGCACCACAGCATCRCACTTGTTTGCTTTTCTATGCTGTCGGTTGTAAAACTTTAATTGAACAGCAGTAAATAAGTGCTGTAAATCTCCTGTAAAAGAGAACCATAGCATCTGCTCCGGCTATTGATTTGGACACTGTGGCCACTGAGATGCAGATTACTATTTAAAGCCTGGGGTTCTTCATTAAAGGTTGCCATGGGTTTGTTTACATATTTTATATTTTTTTCTCTTAAGTAAGAATGTGATCCAAGACCCCAGGAATTGAAAGTGCATTTGATGGGTTACAACCATGGCAACTAACAAGTCCCCTGAAGTGCCCYGTGGCATTACTAAAGCTCAACTTTTGGTCTTAATAGTTTTTAAAATCTGAGTTGCACTAAATCCCACATAAATCTTATGATGAACAATTTGTTTATTTGTGCTAGAGTATAAACTATTGTAAATTTAGATTTTAAAGTTTTATTATAAAGGAGCTGACTTGTATTTGAGTCAGTATTTTGTATCGTCATTGTGCCTTTKTGTTAAGATGCCATACAGGTTAAAAAAAGGTATGGCCTTCCAATATTTAGGGTAAACAGGATTTACATGTGGTGGTGTGCTTTTTGAGATTGCTCATCTTATTTATTAGATTTATTACAGATGCATTTTTGTTAGAAAATGTTTTTGAAAAGGCTTGGAGCGTTTACACAGAACCTGTATGTAGGTAGATGAAAGTGGGCACTTGTTGAAGTGGCATGTTGGCTTAAGTGGGCTGATTCAGACCTCTGCAGCGAGTGTGTTGGCGTGATGGTGAGCTTTTAACTGAAGGAAAGATGATGGGAGTGCGTGTTCATTCTTCCTACCTCCTATAACCTAAGAATAAAATGCAAATATATT